AAAAAAACCAGCAAAACCAATCAATATATTGTAAAAAAATCAGATAGTATATGTGGTTGTTCCACAGTCGTAGACTTCCTATCTCTGCAGAGAAGTTGGGCACAGTAGCCTTTTTTTTTCTTTTTTTAAAAATAATTTATTTATTTATTTTTAGTTTTCATCATTCACTTCTATAAGAGTTTGAGTTTTAAATTTTCTCCTTCTCCTTCTCCTCCCCCCTCCCCAAGACAGTGTGCAGTTTGATATAGGCTCAATTTGTACATTAATATTAAGCATATTTTCCCATTAGTCATGATGTAAAAGAAGAATTAGAACTAATGGGAGGAACCACTAGAGAGAGAAGAAACAAAACAAAACAACAAAAGAAAAGGAGAGCAAATAGTATGCTTCCATCTGCATTCAGACTCCATAGTTCTTTCTCTGGATGTAGATAGCTTTCCATTGTGAGTCTTTTGGAGTTGCCTTAGATCCTTGCATTACTGAGAAGAGCTGAATGTCAAAGTGGCTGTTACTGTGTACAGTGTTCTCCTGGTTCTGCTCATTTTACTCAGCATCAGTTCACATAAGTCTTTCCATCTTTTTATGAAGTCCACGTGCTCATCATTTCTTATAGCACAGTAGTATTCCATTACATTCATATACTACAACTTGTTCATTCTCCAATTGATGGGCATCCCCTCAATTTCCAATTCTTTGCCACCACAAAAAAGAGCTGCTATAAATATTTTTGTACATGTGGCTCCTTTTCCCATTTTTATGATCTCTTTGTGATACAGCCTTAGAAGTGCTATTGCTGGGTCAAAGGGTATGCACATTTTTATAGCCCTTTGGGCATAGTTCCAAATTGTTCTTCAGAATGGTTGGATCAGTTCACAACTCCACCACCAATGCATTAGTGTTTCAATTTTCCCACATCTTCTCCAACATTTATCATTGTCCTGTTTTGTCGTGTTAGGCAATCTGATAGATTTGTGATGTGGTACCTCAGAGTTGTTTTGTTTTGCATTTCTCTTAATCAGTAGTGATTTAGAGCATTTTTTCATATGACTATAAATAACTTTATGCACATTATTTTCTTGGCTTTGCTTACTTCATTTTAAATCTAATCAGTTCGTGTAAGTCTTCCTATGCTTCTTTGCTTTCATCATTTCTTGTTTCTTTCAACATAATAATATTCAATTATGTTCACATACCAGAGTTTATTTGGCCATTCCCCAATTAATCGGCATCCACTTTGTTTCCAATTCTTTGCTACCACAAAAAGAGTTGTTATAAATATTTTGACATACATAGGGACTTTGACCTTTAACATTGATTTCCTGGGGTATAGTCTTTGTAGTAGAATTTCTGGGTCACAAAAGTATGGACATTTTAGTCATTTTACTTGCATAATTCCAAATTGCTTTCCATAATGGTTCTACCAATTCACAGTTCTACCAGTAATCCTCTATGCCTGTCTTCTTACTTTTCCTACATTGACTTCCAGTCTTCTGTTATGATTGCCAGTTTGCTGAGAGTGAATTGAAACATTGTATTGATTTTCATTTCCTTTACTTAGTTATTTGGAGCATTTTCTCATATGGTTGTTAATGGCTTACAATTCTTCTTTTGAGAACTGATCATGTCCTTTGACCACTTCTATTTGGGGAATGTCTGGTTTTACATGTATCATGTGTTTTTGTATCTTAGATATGAAACGCTTATCTGAGAAGTTTGGTACCAAGATTTTTAAGAGGTTTACATTCTAATGGTGAAACTAGCACATGTAAGGGAATCAGTCAGTAAGTATTTATGGCTATTTATTGAAGGAAGCTAGAAAGCAGAGATGAGGAGGGAAAGAATTTCAGGCAGGTGTGATAGGCATAAAAAATGCCTGGAGCCAGGAGATGAAGTATCTTGTTTGAGGAACATCAAGGAATCCAGTGGTACTGGATCAAAAGTAAGTGTCAAGGAGGGAGTTTGATGTGTAGGGTATAAGAGGACTGGAAAGGTAGGGAGGGGCTGGATTATATGAAGTTTTATATTTGATCCTGGAGATAATAGGGGGCCACTGGCCTTTATTGAAAAGGGACACAGTGGCATGATCAGACCTACACTTTAGGAAGATCAATTTGACCTTTAGGAAATAAATTTGACTACTGAGTAAAAGCTGGACTGAAGTGGTGATAAACTTGAGGAAGGGAGACCAATCATAAGGCTGATCCATGCTTGAGGTGATGGGGGCATGCACAGGAGTGCTTAACTCATTTGATCCTCACAACAACCCTGGGAGGTAGATGCCATTGTTATCTTCATTTTACAGATGGAGTAACTGAAGCAGGTTAAATGACTCGCCCATTGTAGTCACACAGCTAATGTCTGAGGCAGAATTTGAATTTAAGCCACTTAAGTTACTTCAGATCCCTTGCTTTGTTCACTGGACCACTTAGCTGAGGTGGACAAGGAGGGGCACTTTACTGGGATGGTGATTGGGATTTTGGGGACTGGATTGACAGTCCAACCAGGAATAGGAAGAGTTGATAGGAGTATGATTTGAGAGGAAAGGTAGTTTTGGAAGAAGAAGTAAATGCAAGATAGTTGGGATTTTCTTGAAATAATGTTCAGGGGCAGCCAGTCACCAATCAGGAGAAAGAAGGACTAAGAGTGGAAGTTCCTCCAGGACGTAATCTCTGTTTTCTAGTACTTCTACACCCCCTACTTCTTTTCAGGCCATGGTGCTTCCTTTCACCCCTTCTTTAGAGATCTCTTAGATCTTTGGACACTATTTCCTTGAAGTCTTTGGAAGCTGCTTTCTTTCTTACCTCAATCCCACAGGCTTTATTTTCATTTAGCTACCTGAATCAGATTGCACTGGATTTCTAGGCTGACTTTGCTTTTAAATGCCTCTTCCACCTATGTCATAGACTTCACATCTCTAGCCATATCACATGTTATTTACCAAATGGATCACCAAATGAAAATCAGGATTTTTGATCTAGAAGGGACTGTAGCTTCTATCAAGAACCCTTATACTATAGTTGGTTGGTTGCTGTCCTTTGTGCATGAGGAGGACCAAAATGACATCACTATGTCTGGGTCATTGTACAGTGTAACAAAATTGTGGTCGGTCAAACCAACATGAGCTCAGAAGGCTCTACCACAGATTGGGCACGAATAGTTCATATGAGCATTTGAAGTGGAGATGTCTCTAAATTTGTGCATCTCACGTTTCCTTTGAGCTGCTGCAATTCTGCTTTACTCATAGAGCATAGTACTTTCTTTGATGAGGGAATACCATAGGGTCCTGTGTCAGTGTCTCCAATTGATTGTTGATTCCATAGTTCTTCAGAGAGACCTTGAAAGTGTCTTTGTGTCCTTTCTTACCCCATTATTTGAGCACTTGTCTTGTTTGTCTGAGTCCTCTGTAGAATAGTCTTTTAGGCAAAGGTATGTTTGGCATTCAAATAACATATCCCTTCTCCCCACCCCCCCCCAATTGGAATTGTGCTCCTTGCAATGGAGTTTGAATGCTTGGCAATTCAGCTCGAAGAAGGACGTCAGTGTGGGGTACCTTATCTTGCCAAGTGATCTTCAGAATCTTCCAAAGACAATTCAAATGGAAGTGATTAATTTTCCTTATTCAAATATATTTCTTTACTCAAGAATCCCTACATGTATCCAATACTATACTATACTATACTATACTATACTATACTATACTATACTATACTATACTATACTATACTATACTATACTATACTATAC